TGATAGAAGAAGAGGAATTACCCAGGGGCTGGTGCTGTGCCGCTCTCCTGGCCCTGTCTGCTGCTATCCTACTTTTTTGGGGTGCAAAGAGGCTGCAGACAGACCCCCCAGCATCCTCCCTGCATGTTTGCGAGCTCAGAGTCGGTCATTCCCTGCTGCTCCCCCATGCCAGTGCCACCAGCCCAGGGACACGCTGCCTGTGCCACCAGCGCAGAGCAGAGCTCATCCCATCGAGGCGCAGGATGCGGGGGGATCCTACTTTTTTGGGGTGCAAAGAGGCTGCAGACAGACCCCCCAGCATCCTCCCTGCATGTTTGCGAGCTCAGAGTCGGTCATTCCCTGCTGCTCCCCCATGCCAGTGCCACCAGCCCAGGGACACGCTGCCTGTGCCACCAGCGCAGAGCAGAGCTCATCCCATCGAGGCGCAGGATGCGGGGGGCGGCGGGGCTGCGGGGCTGCTCTCACTGCAGAGGAAGCCGGAGGTGCGCGGGCACTGCAGGACGTCGTACTGGCAGAACGCCCCATCAAAGCGCTGCGTCAGGTCCTCGGAGTAGCACTGGCACTTCCCACACAGGCACTCGCCCCGGCCCGAGCATGGCTCCACGTCCCCGGGGCGGATACAGGCTTCATTGTTGGGGGACGATGCTGGGGAGCAGTCACACGTGTCCCCTCGCCTGGTGGGGAGGAGACAGTGCTGAGAGAGGCGGGAGCAGGGTCCTGGCCTGGGGGCTGCACAGGGACAGGATGCCCAGGGCACACGTGGGCATCACCATGGGTCCCCAGACCCAGCAGGAACCCTGGGAGGGGTATGGAGCTGGACAAAGTCCTTACCAGCCCGGGTGGCAGATGCACTGTCCACAAACAAAGTCCCCATGGAAGCTGCACTTGGGTGAGCTAAAGTCTTGTTGCTGTAAGAGAGGAGAGGCATTGCCAAGTGAGCTCAGCTGCCCCCATGACCGCTTCAGGAATCACAAGGGCAGATCAAGGGGCAAAATTTTGCCCACAAGACCGTGGGCAACGTGTCCAGCTTGGTACAGGCAGCGATGATCTCCTTGTCCGAGCCTCCACTGAGCAACAGTGAGGGGTTGAGCGGGACCCACACACCTTGGCCAACGCGTTCCCACCACGGTCTGGCTGGGAGGAGGACACCTCTGCAACACGCACCCCCACGTACCTGTTCACAAGGACACACATCACAGATGACCGAGGCTGTGACTTTGAGGCTGTCGCTCAGGGATGTGGGTTTCACGTGGATCACTCCCCGACGATCTTTCTCAGGGAGGTTGCAGACGTGCTGCCCACCGATGTACTCGAGCGCCTTCACACGCACGTTGAACTTCCCCTGGAAGGAAGGGACACGCCGCAGGGGTGAGGCAGCTCTGCCGGACCACAGCGCGGCCGGACCGACCCCGGGTGAAGAGGGAGGGAGGGACACAGGGAGGGCTCAGCCCCTTGCACACACCTCCCCTCTGGGGACATCCAGGGACTCACCACTTCCCCACGGGTGATGTGGAAGGAGCCGGATTCTGTCTTTTGGTACATCAAGGAGGTGAACTCTGTCTTCATGGCTTTGGGGACAAAGTCCACCCGGATGTCCATCTTGGAGCGGATGCGCTGGACAGCAGAAGATAACAACAGCGCTGATTTTCAGCTGTACCCCTGTGATTGACCCACGGCCAGCCCCAGAGGGGCCACATCCTGCCTCCTGCCTGCTCTCCTGGGCAGGAGGTGCCCCAGAGCAAAGCCCCAGAGAGCACCGTTACCTCAAAGGCTGTGCGGAGCAGCTCCACGATGTTAGAAGAGTCCTCCTGGAGCACTCCAATCTCGGAGATGGGGAAATACTTGTGCAGCTTCTGCAGAGAGACAGGAGCCCCCTGAGACAAGCCCTTGAGAAACCTCCTCTAGCACCGAAGCAAGCTCTGCTTTGAGCAGGGCTTGGACCAGAGACCTCCAACGGTCCCTTCTAACCTAAAGGACTCTCCAGTATCCCCAGTGCTGTACAAGAAACTGACACCAACACAGGGAGACCTCTAGGACCCTGCATCCCAATAATACACCCTGAGGCCTCCCATGACCCAGAGCATCCCCCCCAACACATCACAGAACCTTCACAAAGGTTAGTTTAGCACTTGGGGACCAGAGATGGGAGAATGCTTTCTCCTCACCGCCGAGCTGCAGGCAGAGGAGCAATGGTCCTGGAGGAAAGGTAAGCCCATGTGGCACCACCACCACGGTCTCCTCACCTCATAGTAGCTGTAGGAGTGGTTGGTGACAGCAAAGATGGGGATGATGTTTTGCTGGCCCAACAGGCGCACCAGGGTGGGCACAGAAGGATAGTCCTGCTTGGTGTCATACACGTAGGTGCCAGTGGTGTCCAGGTGACACTGCTCATCATTTCTCGCCAGGATCCCTGCCAGGACGTTGGTACCATCAGCTTCATAGTGAAAGGCAGATTCGGTGGAGAACACGAGCAGGTGAGTGCTGTCCTTCCTCCAGCCGATCTTATCCTACAGCCAGAGAGGGAGAAGGAACCCTTATCTCTGTGCCCCCCAAACCACTGCACAGCACTTGCAGCCATTGGCAAGCCAGCACCGGCAGGAGACAGAAAACCCAAGGGGCAAGGCACCACCTCCACTTGGCAGCAAACGTGACCAGCTACATGGACCTGGGAATCCAAGCCACCAGGTCTCTGTTCCCCATCTGCACCCCCAATGCACAGGATGTCTCCCAGCAGCTCAGCGCCAGGCACACATATGCCCAGGGGGCAAGCCCACGCTTTTCTGGGCGTGTTTGGAGCTGGGCTCGTCCCTCAGACAAATGGCCAAACCCAAGTTTTCCAGGGAGCAGAGTTTCACTGCTGGGGAACAGAGCAAAGGGCACACGCAGCGTACCCAGCAAGCAGCTCCTGCGCTGGAGATCAAACACCAGAGATACACACACAGGTGGTGTAAGACCAAAGAAAAATTGGGAATGCAAACCAGCTTGGCACTGGGAGCATGCAGCTGGGAGAGCAAGAACTGACTGTAGCTGAACATGTAACCTGGGCTGTCTTGTCAGCTGCCCAGGGTGCTGCTCTTTCACTCATCACCCGGTATCAAGATCCACTCATTGAAAACAGAGCCCTGCCCACACAGCTCCTGCATCCCTGGCCACCGTCACCTTGCAAACAGCTGTCTGCAGGATGGCATCAAAGCCGCCCTCGGGGGCATCCAGGTTGCCAGAGATGCGCTCCTTCCTGAGCTCCTGGCTGAAGTGGTTGATGTTGTTGGTCAGGCGGATGACGTTCTTGAAGGAGAAGGGGGAGTCGGCGTTATTCCAGGGCTCACGCAGCCTAGGAGAGAACGAGAGAGCGGGGTTTTTGTGTGGGGCAGGAGCAAAGGGATGCCTGGGTGCGAGGAGTGGAAGGGCAAGGAGAGTACCCAAAGGATGGGGAGTCCCCTCATGGGAAGAGATGAAGTTGCATTGGTGAGCCATCAGTACTGAGAGGTGGAAGGGATGAGGGCAGAGATGGAGGAGACAAGACATGCAATCCATCATGGCAGAGCAGGGAAGATATGGAGGTGGAGGAGGACACCGCGGACATTGGCACATGCACAGCAAACCCTGAGCACAGGGTGGGGAGCCCACAGTGAAGGGAGAGAGACGGACGGGGGCTCTCGCACCACAGACAGTGAAGATCAGGAAAGCCACGGAGAAACAGAAGGCGCCTGCCCTCCCCTCTGCTCCCATCCTGGGACCTATTGCCCTCACTCACTTCTCAGGTCTCATGTCTGTCTGAGGGGATGAGACTTTGTCCACAAACTTGCCGAATCCGATGGTGTAATTGGAGGTCAAGGCTTGCAGGAACTCCGCTGGGAGGAGGAAGGAGGGAGAAGTGGATACGTGAATAAACAGATGTCTGCAAGGTCGCTGCTCCAGGGTAAGAAGTCCTTTCCTGGGCATCTTCTGTGCTGGTCAGGTCTTATCTAAGACTCCCAAACTGTCAGGTTTTAAGCTCTTTGGGCTTGAGACTTGTAATTTTGGGGGGTAGAAACCTATACCACCTTTGGTAGCCCCTTTCCAAGACCGGGGCTTCTGCAATAGCACACACCACACCTGTGGTTCCAGATGCCAAAGCCACCGCAGAGACCAACCCTGCAGGACACCAGCCCCACGCTGGGCTGAAAGGAGAGGGCATGCATGATGATCCCTGCGGGGCCAGGAGAGCCACCCCCCCACAAAGCTGCACAAGGCGGTGGTAAGAAATTCTAATTAGAACAGACGCCTCGCAGCCCTTTGCCAGTTGCATCCCTTTCTCCAGCGCTGGCAGAGAACTCACAGCCGTGGGCAGGAGGGAGCTGCCTGACATCGCCTGCACAGGGTCCCCTCTTCTCCCAGCTCTGGTCTCACCTAGGTTTTGTCCCATGCTTTTGAGGTTGTCCAGATCATCAGACATAGAGTATGAGAAGTCCATGAGGATGTAGAGATCCACGGGGCTCTCCAAGGGCTGGAAGACATCCATGTTGAAGCTCATCTCCTCCCCAGCTCGCAACCGCATGAGCATGCCTTGGGGGGCCACCTGGGTCCTCTGCAGGAACGTGTTGATGCTGAAATTCTGTGAAGGAAGAGCAATGTGAAGGGGATGGACCCTATCTCCTGGGATGGACTCCATTCAGACGCAATGAGGAGGAGGCAAGGAGCAGGGAGTGGACACGCAGAGATGATCGTGCTGCCTTCCCTCATGTACAGCCAGGGACTGAGGCAGCCTCCCCCGTGTCCATGCGTGCCCAGCTGGGTGCCTCCTCCAGACCTTGGCATTTTGTTTACTTCTCTTTTGCCTGAAAAGCCACCCCAGCCTGAAGCCATCAGGGCTAGTTGCCAACAGGTTCATCAGCTAGCAAAGGCAGAGCATTATTTTTTAGTAGACCCTACGTAAACAGCGGTCTGGGCATTGCATTTTTCCTGATGAAGGCTCTAGCAGGAGGATGAAGGACATGAAGGATGCTGGGGATGGTGGGACCCCTCAGGAGAAGCCCAGCAAGGGCCGTGTCCCCAGCACCCACCTGCTGGGTGCGCATCTCGCCCCGGGTGTACACGATGCTGGCCTCCCCGCAGCCGTACCACAGCAGGTTCTCCCGCAGGTCGCAGCGAGGCTTGTCAAAGCTCTGCCAAGGGGGGACAAGAACAACGTTACAACCACAGAAAGCAGAAAATCCTCCGTGCAAGGTGGGGAAGGCACTTTTCGGGAAGCTGGGTCCTCTGCTGAGAGGATTAGTGAGCTTTTGGGAGCAGGAGTGGGGCTGAGAGATGGGGACAAGTCTCGAGCCAGTGTCCCCTGGCACCAGGGCAGTGCAGCCCCCAGTCGATACTGGGCTGTCTGGGGTAAGACTCTCCCTCTGTCCCTCACACACAGTTTCAGGTCCGGCACACTGACATTTTCTGATAAACTCGTGTTTTCCTGCAAGTTTTCCCCCAACTCCCCTTCCTCCTCGTTTGTCCGCACCAAAGTAAACCCACGTTTCAGCGCTCCCCGTCCAGCCCAGCTCTTTGCTGGAACCAGAAGCTGACCCTGCTCTCAGGTCCCCTCTCCCAGTTTTCCCCAGGGATGGTGGGATCCCTCCACGGGCAGGGTGGGGAGCAGAGCCACGGGCTGCCCTGCGAGGTCTCACCTCGTCGGTGCAGAAGGAGCAGTCCTTGTCCACGCGGATGCACTCGGTGCAGTTCTTCGCCCGGGAGAGCAGACAGCGGTTGTCTGCGGGGACAGATCAGGGCATCAGGGATGCAGAGAACCAGGCGAGCCGTGGAAGGGTGTTGTGGTTTGGGGGTGGGTTTGTCTGGGAGCAGGGAAGGGCCACAGTCATGGCCGCTGTCAGTAGCTGCTAAAGGTTTCCCTGGACTCCAGCTCTGCTGGCAGCAAGGGAGGGGCTGCGGTGGCCCCTGTGAGTGACTGCTCAGGGTTCACCCCCACCCCAGGCTCCAAGGGTTTAGTAACCGGGGCCCCCCATTCCCTGCCCCCCTGAGCCACCGGGGCAGGGGGAGAAGGTACAGAACAAAGCTTTGGGCTTTGGGAAGAAGGGAGGGGTGGGGGAGAAGTGCCTTTTAAATATGTAGTTTCTCAGTATCCTGCTTCTTGTTGTCAATAGTTAATAAATTTAATTTTTTTTGTTCTTCCCAAGTCGTGTCGGTTTCTTGCCTGTGACCCTAAGTGGTGAGTGAAACCCTCCCTGTCCCTGCCTCAGCCCACCAGGTGTTTAGCAAAAACTGTCCCTATGGCTTTATAAAGCACGACAAAGAGCATGATAAAGGCTGATCCCCTTTCCCACGGGAGTCAGTGGAAGTTTTGCCTGGGTGTTTGTTTAGTGGAAGCTGGCTACAAAACGCAAGAGAGGGACCCCCAATGCCAGGGAGATAGAAAACAGGAGGAAAGGTGCACGACAGGTCTCCCAGGGGCTTATCCACATGGTTTCTGGAGCCCAGGAGAGATGCGCATGGTCCCCACAGGGCAGCACCACGCAGGGACCGCAGACGGATGCACCGGGGCCACACTCACTTCTGCTCCTTTGGCAGAGGCTGGGGGCACAGAGCAGGGACAGGAGGAGCAGCCCAGCACACGTCCGTGGCAGCACGTCCATCCTCTTCCTCCTGAAACACATGGATCGCTACGTCAGGGAGAGCCGAGAGGCCGGGACGGAATGGCCCTGGGCACGATCAGCAGCTCTGGCAGAGCCCTTGCCCAGCCCAGCGGGGTGGGACAGCCCTGCCCGCCCGGGGAGGGTGATGTCTGGAAGCAATCGCTGATCTCAGCAGGGCAGGGCACAAAAGCAAAACCGAGAGCGGCTCGTCCTCTGCTCAGGTATGTGTGAAGGGCTCAAAGTCCCCGGCAATGCCAGGGCAGGGCAGGTGCCACGCCACAGCACCCCTGTGCCCCGAGTCGGGGTGCCCAGTGTGACAGGTCCCCCAGGGCAGTGACAGCCGGAGCCCAGGCTGCTCCCAGCTGCAGACCAGCACCGTCTGCACATTTGAGAGCTGAGCAGGTCAAGACCTTGCTTTTCCTGGCAGGTTAAGGAAAAAAAAGAGAGGAGGAAAATAAAGCGACTGTCTACATTTCTCCCCAAAAGCAAAACAGACCCCTCCCGTTGGCTATTTCCTATTGCACTAAGAGTTACCAGGATGGTCAAATCAACAATAAATAGAGGGTGAGGCCTTGGGAAATGCCAGACTTGGACCTTGGGAGCTGCTGGATGGATCTCTGGTCTTGAGAGCCCGGAGGTCCCCTCTGTCCTGTCCAGGGAGGCAGGACCCCTCGCGTGCATCCAGAGGCCAAGTCTGAACAGAGCGAACGGTTCCCCCTGCACCCACACGTGACTGAGACACCGCAGTGCCCTCCAGAAGTCAGCACTGGGACATGGTGAAGAGGAGAGGCAAAGCTGGAACTTGAGCTCTGCAGCTGCTGCACCGGAGCGTGGCTCTGACTCCAGCACCTCAGCAGGGAACTGAGAGCAATCGAGGCAGAAAATCGAGTGCAAAGACATCCTTAAAGCACCTCCTTCCTGGAAGGTGCAAGTGTGAAATAGAAGATGCAAATGAATTGTCTTATAGCTTCTTGCTGCGTGAGCCCTGACTCTAAAAGCGTTGAAGAGAATGTGAAACCACCCGAAACAGGGAAGGAAAATGGGAACAGTTGTTGTGTGCAGGGAAGTTGTCCGAGTTCCCAGGGGAACACCCTGCATGCAGATCGGTCACTTGGTGACTTAGCTACCCTGAGCTGGGGCCCAGGAAAGACGCCCTCCAGTCTCAGCAGCATTGGATCACACTCGGCCTCTGGATCCTGCGTCGGGCACTGAAGCCCGTGGAAATGCTTTGAACACGTGAAGCTGAGCACTCGCAGAAATCATGGCAGCACAGGGCATGAACCAACGTAGCGTTGACCCCAGGAGATGCCTCCCTCGGGGTTCGCACTTTGTTCTCCATGACGGTCACTGGGTGCACCGGTAACACATGACAAGATGTTGGCACCTCATTTATCTTGTCAGCTGTGCCCAGAGGGATTTATCACAGTAATTAATGCCCTGTAGCCAAAACTTGAGAAACATGGAAACCACAGGACAGCATCTCTGCAGGGACACCCAGGGAAGCTTTGCTGTTCATCAGGACCTGGCAGCCAACGTGGGTTTCTCACTGGTGACAGGTACCAGTTGGCCAAGGAAATCCCTCCGCTTCCCTCCGGCAGCCCCTGAGCACAGCTTCCGGCAACACCGACTGGCCCCAGCTCAGGATCTTCATGGGTCTGGCTTCAGGCGGTCCCCTGGCCCAGCCCCAGCACTGTCTCCGAGGCCGGCAGTTCTCCTTCACTGCTGGAGAACATGCCCGTGACCTCCTCCAGCCCTCGCGCCACCACTCGCTGGCAATCGTCATGTCCCTCGCCAACGAGATGGACGGGTTCTGAAGCCAGGAAAACCTCTTTTCCCCTCGCCCCGCCCCAGCGAGCCGTGCCAGCCGCAGCCACCGCCGCTGCGGGGACGTGGGGAGATGCCAGCGAGAGGCGGGATGAAGGGCAGGGACATCCTTTGAGCCCGTCGAAGGAAAATACGGCGAAAGCATCCCCCGAGCACTTGGCAAATCCGAAAACATCCCCTGAGCACTTGGCAAATCCCACCTCCCACCACGGCAAAGGCCACGAGGACAGGACTGAGTACGGGGGACGCGTTGCCCAGCTCACACACCCACGGTTCAAGGTGGCTTCAGAGCACAGACCTCGTTCTCCTTCCTTTAACCGCAAATCCAGTCACCAGGGGATGGAGACACGCCCTGGGCCTCGGGCACACAAACTGCTATCATCTTTTCAAGTGCCGAGGTAAAAGGCCATAAAACTCAGCTCGATATCAACGTCCTGTTGCCCTGCCAGCCGCCAGCTCCACGGACCAAGCTGGGCGGGTGCCAGCGGGCGCTCCCGGCATGGAGCATCGCTGATGGCAGCCGGAGGCGAAATGTTTGTGCAAAAACACGCCAGCGGCCATCCCTCCGTGTCAAAAGCGTCCTCGGGAAGGGAAAACGCCACTTTCACTTCGGAAAAGCTGCAGGGGTTTGGTTGGATTTTCATGATGACAGCAACAACAAAAAAAAGAGCAGTTCAGTCGTGCAAAACCGGGGAACGAAGCAGAGCGGCTCCCGGCTGCACACAAACATCCTGCCCTGTCCCAGACCACCGCTCCAGCCCTTCTTCCTGCTCCCACAGCTTTTGCCTGCACCTCGGCACAGCCGACAAACCTGCTTCAGAAAAACCCTGGGAACCCCCGAGCCTGGAGAATCCCCAAAACTGGGGGATGCTCCAAAGGAACCCCCAGAGCAATGAGCTGGGGACAGGGCTGGAGCAGCACACCTTCACCACCGTGTCCCCTCCCTGCCCCATCCCACCCCAGCACCTCTGAGCTGGGGAGGACGAGGCTGGAGCTGGGCGTTGGTTATGATGAGCCGTGAGCCCACGGTGGGAGCCTGGGCCCAGCCACCACGTGGGGGACACCTGGCAGGTTGGGGACATGGGGGCGGGGAAGCAAAGGAGATGCTTGAGCTCCCCGGGCAGCCTTTCCTCCCTCCGGTGGGCATCGCTCTTTTTGTGGCCACAGACTCTCCCCGTCCTGACAAGGGGTGTGCTGGGGCCATGCGTGATGGAGCAGAGGATGGACACCCCTGGAGATGGGGGGCATCTGGAGGAGCATCTGCTTGCCCACGCGTGCCGGGGACCACACAGCGATGGAGGCAGCAGCCGGGTGCCTCCCCCAGAGACCCCGGTCCCACTCCCTCCTGGCAGCGCGGTAACAGCCACCGCAGCTGGCACAGGCTCCGTTCTCCTCCCAGGGCAGGGCTGCGGGCACATGGATCAGGGCCACACCCCAGACTCTCTCCTTCCCTGGGCTGCTCCCCCTGTGGCACACGCAGCAGTGCAAAGTTGCCAGGGGCCATGCTCAGAAATTAGGAAACTATCAAGCCAGACCTCAAGAAAACTATTAAAAGTTTGACATGCAATCAAAGCATCGCTTGAACACAAAACTGTATTTGTCTTTGATTTTGTTTGGCTTCC